ATTTCAAATCAATGACTGAAACTTTTGTTCATATTTAGTTTTTTTATTTGTTGATCATAAATAAATTATTAATTTTGTAAATATAACATCTACACTTTCCATTCGAAACCAAACTTTTATAAGTCTCTTGTAATCAGACTATGTAAACCGGATGAAAAACATCTGGAAATTATTACATATTATTTTAAAATTTCTATTTCCTCGTTATCTTTGATTCAAGGGCGAAAATTCACTTTCGTTAATTTCAGGCAGTAGTAATTGGAAATTTGATGAGATCCACAAAGATCCATTTTAAAAGCCTCTCTGATCCATTTTAAAAGCCTCTCCTCGATAAAAATGATCTCTCGTTTAGTTCGAAAACTAGCTTTGAATTAATTTGGAATATGTTTCTAACTAGATGATACAGAAACGTAACTACTCCTAGGTCTATGAAAAATATGTTTACATGTTTTTTAATTTAAGACATCTTTAGGTTTAAACTTTTTTTATTTTTAAAATTTTCTAATCTCTTTTTAAGTTTTTAGATCTGGTGTTCCTATGTAGGGTCGTGAAATATTTTAAAAATATATTCTGATTTTGTAATAAAATTCCAATTAAAACAAAAACAACTTATCAACAGTTATCTTGTCGTTATAAAAAGTTAGACGCAACCAAAGTTTTAAAAAGTCTCTATTTTTTATAGAAAAACATTTCCTTTCGGGCTATAGTTAGTTAGTTAGTTAGTTAGTTAGGTAGTTAGTTAGTTAGTTAGTAGTAGTTAGTTAGTCGTAGTAGTTAGTTAGTTCGTAGTAGTTAGTAGTTATTTAGTTAGTTATCGTTGAGTTAGTTAGTTAGTTAGTTAGTTAGTTAGTTAGATTAGTATTTAGTTAGTAGTTAGTAGTTAGTTAGTTAAGTAGTTAGTAGTTAGTTAGTTAGTTAGTTAGTTAGTTAGTTAGTTAGTTAGTTAGTTAGTTAGTAGTCAGTTAGTTAGTTAGTTAGTTAGTTAGTTAGTTAGTTAGTTAGTTAGTAGTTAGTTAGTTAGTTAGTTAGTTGTTAGTTAGTTAGTTAGTTAGTTAGTTAGTATCAGTAGTTAGTCGGTTAGTTAGTTAGTTAGTTAGTTAGTTAGTTAGTTAGTTAGTTAGGTTAGTTTAGTTAGTTAGTTAGTTAGTAGTTAGTTAGTTAGTTAGTTAGTAGTTAGTTAGTTAGTTAGTTAGTTAGTTAGTTAGTTAGTTAGTTAGTAGTTAGTAGTTAGTTAGTTAGTAGTTAGTTAGTTAGTTAGTTAGTTAGTTAGTTAGTTAGTTAGTAGTTAGTTAGTTAGTTAGTTAGTTAGTTAGTTAGTTAGTTAGTTAGTTAGTTAGTTAGTTAGTTAGTTAGTTAGTTAGTTAGTTAGTTAGTAGTTAGTTAGTTAGTTAGTTAGTAGTTAGTTAGTTAGTTAGTTAGTTAGTTAGTTAGTTAGTTAGTTAGTTAGTTAGTTAGTTAGTTAGTTAGTAGTTAGTTAGTTAGTTAGTTAGTTAGTTAGTTAGTTAGTTAGTTAGTTAGTTAGTTAGTTAGTTAGTTAGTTAGTTAGTTAGTAGTAGTTAGTTAGTTAGTTAGTTAGTTAGTTAGTTGTTAGTAGTAGTTAGTTAGTAGTAGTTAGTTAGTTAGTTAGTTAGTTAGTTAGTTAGTTAGTTAGTTAGTTAGTTAGTTAGTTAGTAGTTAGTTAGTTAGTTAGTTAGTTAGTTAGTTAGTTAGTTAGTTAGTTAGTTAGTTAGTTAGTTAGTTAGTTAGTTAGTTAGTTAGTTAGTTAGTTAGTTAGTTAGTTAGTAGTTAGTTAGTTAGTTAGTTAGTTAGTTAGTTAGTTAGTTAGTTAGTTAGTTAGTTAGTTAGTTAGTTAGTTAGTTAGTTAGTTAGTTAGTTAGTTAGTTAGTTAGTTAGTTAGTTAGTTAGTTAGTAGTTAGTTAGTTAGTTAGTTAGTTAGTTAGTTAGTTAGTTAGTTAGTTAGTTAGTTAGTTAGTTAGTTAGTTAGTTAGTTAGTTAGTTAGTTAGTTAGTTAGTTAGTTAGTTAGTTAGTTAGTTAGTTAGTTAGTTAGTTAGTTAGTTAGTTAGTTAGTTAGTTAGTTAGTTAGTTAGTTAGTTAGTTAGTTAGTTAGTTAGTTAGTTAGTTAGTTAGTTAGTTAGTTAGTTAGTTAGTTAGTTAGTAGTTAGTTAGTTAGTAGTTAGTTAGTTAGTTAGTTAGTTAGTTAGTTAGTTAGTTAGTTAGTAGTTAGTTAGTTAGTTAGTTAGTTAGTTAGTTAGTTAGTTAGTTAGTTAGTTAGTAGTTAGTTAGTTAGTTAGTTAGTTAGTTAGTTAGTTAGTTAGTTAGTTAGTTAGTTAGTTAGTTAGTTAGTTAGTTAGTTAGTTAGTTAGTTAGTTAGTTAGTTAGTTAGTAGTTAGTTAGTTAGTTAGTTAGTTAGTTAGTAGTTAGTTAGTTAGTTAGTTAGTTAGTTAGTTAGTTAGTTAGTTAGTTAGTTAGTTAGTTAGTAGTTAGTTAGTTAGTTAGTTAGTTAGTTAGTAGTTAGTTAGTTAGTTAGTTAGTTAGTAGTTAGTTAGTAGTTAGTTAGTTAGTTAGTTAGTTAGTTAGTTAGTTAGTTAGTAGTTAGTTAGTTAGTTAGTTAGTTAGTTAGTTAGTTAGTTAGTTAGTTAGTTAGTTAGTTAGTTAGTTAGTTAGTTAGTAGTTAGTTAGTTAGTTAGTTAGTTAGTTAGTTAGTTAGTTAGTTAGTTAGTTAGTTAGTTAGTTAGTTAGTTAGTTAGTTAGTTAGTTAGTTAGTTAGTTAGTAGTTAGTTAGTTAGTTAGTTAGTAGTAGTTAGTTAGTTAGTTAGTTAGTTAGTTAGTTAGTTAGTTAGTAGTAGTTAGTTAGTTAGTTAGTTAGTTAGTTAGTTAGTTAGTAGTTAGTTAGTTAGTTAGTAGTTAGTTAGTTAGTTAGTTTAGTTAGTTAGTTAGGTTAGTTAGTTAGTTAGTTAGTTAGTTAGTTAGTTAGTTAGTTAGTAGTTAGTTAGTTAGTTAGTTAGTTAGTTAGTTAGTTAGTTAGTTAGTTAGTAGTAGTAGTTAGTTAGTAGTTAGTTAGTTAGTTAGTTAGTTAGTTAGTTAGTTAGTTAGTAGTTAGTTAGTTAGTTAGTTAGTTAGTTAGTTAGTTAGTTAGTTAGTTAGTAGTTAGTTAGTTAGTTAGTTAGTTAGTTAGTTAGTTAGTAGTTAGTTAGTTAGTTAGTTAGTTAGTTAGTTAGTTAGTTAGTTAGTTAGTTAGTTAGTTAGTTAGTTAGTTAGTTAGTTAGTTAGTTAGTTAGTTAGTTAGTTAGTTAGTTAGTTAGTTAGTTAGTTAGTTAGTTAGTTAGTTAGTTAGTTAGTTAGTTAGTTAGTTAGTTAGTTAGTTAGTAGTTAGTTAGTAGTTAGTTAGTTAGTTAGTTAGTAGTTAGTTAGTTAGTTAGTTAGTTAGTTAGTTAGTTAGTTAGTTAGTTAGTTAGTTAGTTAGTAGTTAGTTAGTTAGTTAGTTAGTTAGTTAGTTAGTTAGTTAGTTAGTTAGTTAGTTAGTTAGTTAGTTAGTTAGTTAGTTAGTTAGTTAGTTAGTTAGTTAGTTAGTTAGTTAGTTAGTTAGTTAGTTAGTTAGTTAGTTAGTTAGTTAGTTAGTAGTTAGTTAGTTAGTTAGTTAGTTAGTTAGTTAGTTAGTTAGTTAGTTAGTTAGTAGTTAGTTAGTTAGTTAGTAGTTAGTTAGTTAGTTAGTTAGTTAGTTAGTTAGTTAGTTAGTTAGTTAGTTAGTTAGTTAGTTAGTTAGTTAGTTAGTTAGTTAGTTAGTTAGTTAGTTAGTTAGTTAGTTAGTTAGTTAGTTAGTTAGTTAGTTAGTTAGTTAGTTAGTTAGTTAGTAGTTAGTTAGTTAGTTAGTTAGTTAGTTAGTTAGTTAGTTAGTTAGTTAGTTAGTTAGTTAGTTAGTTGGTTACTGAAATGTTTCCAAATAACATTAGCTCCAGAATTTTGATATTAAAATCTTAAAATAAAAATATCATTATACTTTAAATATTTAAATTAATTTTATTAAATTTCGTAAATTCTAATACACATTGAATAGCTACCTGCTAAAATAATTCGATTATAGTTTTATTTACCACATCATAGATTTAACTGTAATACACGCGCCTACTACATAAATTAAATAAAATTTGAATACAATTTGCATTAAATTAAGTGTACATGATATTAAACTATTTAATTTAAACAAGTGCACAAAAATACCAAAAAAATTAACACAATTGTTTTAATTTTGTACATATTACTATAAAAGGTTGAAATTATTTAGCAGAAGACATCACTAACTTAGTATCCATACTTCGATTAACAATCCAAAAAAAATCATACACTTCTTCAATATGTTCAAATTTGTAAGTGGCTTAAGAAATATAAAATACTTAAATACATAGATTAATTATTTTGTTGCTTCTTTTGTAAAGGTTGTTGTCTTTGCTGCCTGTTTCGCCTATGCTGCTGCTGGTGTTGTTCAGCCCACTGCTTTAGCTGCTGCTCCCGCCGCTGTAGCTGCTTATGCTAATGCTCCTTTGTATGCTGCTGGTGGCAGTCAACAAATTGATGTTCGTCACAACTACGATGGCACTTTGTCTTCTTACACCACCACTCCCTTCGCTTACACTTCTCCCGTGTCTAGCCGTTATGTAGCTGGTGCTCCTGCTGCCTATGCTGCTCCTGCTTTTGCTGCTCCCGCTGCTTATGCTGCTGCTCCTGCTAAATATGTTGCCCCCGCTGGTGTTGCTGCTCCTTTCGCTGTAGCTTCTCCTTATGCTGCTCCCTATGCTGCTCAATATGCTGCTCACTATGCCGCTCCTTATGCTGCTCACTATGCCGCTCCTTATGCTGCTCCCTATGCCGCTCCTTATGCTGCAGCTTACGGTGCTCCTTTGGCCACCCCTTTCGCTGCTGCTCCCGCTAAAGTAGTAGTTTAAATTTAAAATTATTTTCCTTTTTCAAATATTGTTTTTGTATATAATTGTTGATATTAATAAATATTTATTTTTTTTTAAATTAATTATACTTTTCCAGTGTATATTAATCTGAACGATGTTGTAATCGATCTAGTTTAAAGTTGTAGCAATAATTATTATTTTCAATATAATACTACTCTATCTTGCAATTTCTATAGAAGCTCGATCTTAAAATCTTCTATAGAAATTTTTTCGATCTTAAAGTGTTCTGCTGATCGAACTGATCAAATAATTATAGAAAATAAATCAACCTTAAACATTTGTAAGATTATAATCTTTGATTTTTAATTGACGACTTATTAGTAATAAAAATTTTCTATAGAAAACCATTTGACTTTGACCGATCATACAATTTTCTACAGAAAACTCATAAGTTTTTATATAAATCTGATCGATATCAAAAATGTTGTATATAAATATGATGGAACATACAATTTCCTAGAGAAAATTGAACGATCTTAAAATTTTCTATAAAAATATGATCAATTTGATCAGTTACCTATGGAAAATTGTAAAATTATAGAAATTTTGTAAGATCGATAAGTTTTCTCTGCTCATTTTCTAATGAAAACTGATCGATCTCACAACATTCTATACTAAACTATGAATTTCCAAAAATTCTGGGGAAAACTGTCGTATTTCGCAATTTTTTATAGGAAACTGATTCATCCTAAAGTTTCTAAAGAAAACCGACCGATTTCTAAAGAAAACCGACCGATTTTACAAATATCTAAAAAACTAGCCGATCTTACGAATTTCTATAAAAAAAACTGATCGATATAAATTTTTTTATAGAAAACTGATTATCTTGAAAATTTTCTGTTAAAAAATGAAGGATCTTATAAATCTTTAATTGATTGATCTTACAATTCTCTACAGAGAACGGATCAATCTATAAAATATCTATAGAACACTTATCAATCTCTCAAATAGATCAAACTGATCAGCACATCCACCAAAACTCTAAAATTTTAAAATTTACTATAGAAAACTGATCTTTTTTTGGAACTTTCTATAATAAACTGATCGATATCGCGATTTTCTTTCGAAAACACATTCACAGAACTCTAAAATTTAAAAATTTCCTATAGAATACTGATCTTTTTTAGCACTTTCTATAATAAACTGATCGATATCGGAATTTTATTTCGAAAATTGCAGCGATTGCAAACATTTCTAAGAAAGAAATTTTCTATAGAAAACTAATCATAAAATATTTATAGAACACTGACTGATCTCATGATTTGCTATGGATCTTTCGTCGATAAAATTCGCTGACTGATCTCGCCATTTTTTATGTGAAACTAATTTATACTAAAATTTTTATGGAAAACTGATAGAGTTCTAAATTTTTATATAGAAATCTGATCATACTCATAATTTTCTAAAATTTGTAAAAAAAATTTAACAATTTTCTACAAAAAACTGAATTAATTACTTTATTTTCTAAAAAAAATACTGATCGATCTTACAGTAATCTATTGAAAACTGACCGATCTTCGAATTATCTTTATAAAACGGTCCAAAATTCTGTATATAAAATTGGTCAATACCAAATTTGTTGTAAAAAACAGATCGATCTCACAATATGATAGAAAATTATATAACAATTTTCTGTTAAAAACTTAAACTGATCGATCTTACAATTTTTCTTTAAAAGCTGCTCAACTTACTACTTTCTATAGAAATCTAATGAACATCTGGAAAAAAATAGAAAACTGATCTTTTATTAATCCCTCTATAGTAAACTGATCGCAAAATTTTCTAAAAAGAAATTTTTTTATAAAACACAGATTTATCTTAAAATTTTAAAGAAATCGGTTAGTTTTCACGATTTTCGATGGAAAAATTATAGATTTTTTATACAGAAAACTTTCTTTCATTTAATAATAGGAAAAATTTGTGTACAAATCTGATCATACTTGCAATTTCCTATAAAAAATTTTACTATTTTACTATATTCTATAAAAAAGTGATCGATCTCACAATTTTTATAGAATACTAATCTATTTTAACAACTGATTGATAATACCATAGTTTAATTGATCGATTTTACAATTTTCTATTTAAAGCTAATCAATCTCACAATTTTCTAAGTAAAATTGATCGATATCTGGTAACTTCTGATCTGTTTCATAATTTTCTTAAAAAAAAACTAAAAGATCGTAAAATATTTTCTAAAATGTTTATTGAACACAGATTGAACTCACGATTTTCTATCTAAAACTGATTGACCTAAAACTTATAAACAGAAAACTAATTAATCTTTCATTTATATATAGTAAACAGATAAATTGTTATACACAAACCGATCGGTCTGACATTTCCCGTTATTTTCTATTAAAAACTAGTTCTTGAGTCATTTAATATTTCTGAAATTCTTGATGCATCGAAATTAAAGCAATTTTTCGGTAGGGAAGAGAAAAATCATAGATATCTTGAGTACTAAATACATCTCCTCTCCTAAAATATAGATCGATGTTATTTAATTAAATTTGAACTCAATTAAAATCTATGTCAACCAATAAAATCAAAAGTATAGCAATTAATTTTACAACCACTAATAAAAGTATAACATTAATTTACTATCATAAAGACCATCTGCCAAACTAAAAAACAAATTGCCAAATGCATTTCAAATGTTTAAAAAGTACATGATCAAGGTCACTGCATTTTAAATACCTACAATCACATACATATCTTTTAAAATGTAAACTAAGTATTTCCTTCCGAGTTAAAAAGTCTCGAGACTAGGCAACGCCTACAAATGAACTATTACTTTTTAGAAAACTTAATAAACAAATCACGTTAACAAAATTCAAATTTCAAATTTGTAATTCAGTTTGGTAACCATATACTCGTGCAGACCAATGTATGAAAGTCTTTAAGTAGTCTATGGTAACATCTGCCAAATATTGAACAAAAACAAAAGAAAATAATCAAAATTTGTTAGAGTACTCGGTAAATTAGTATAAAAGCTAAAAACAATTGTTACAAAGACATCATAACCGTTTTAACTTTAACTCTTTAAACAAACCAAAGAAATTTTAAATTAAATCCTCACAAAATGTTCAAATTCGTAAGTTTTCAAAACTTAAAAAAAATATCGAAAATATACTCATAATTCCATTTTTAAGGTTGTTGTTTTTGCTGCCTGTTTTGCCTATGCTGCTGCCGGTGTTGTTCACCCCACTGCTTTTGCTGCTGCTCCCGCTGCTGTAGCTGCTTATGCTAATGCTCCTTTGTATGCTGCTGGTGGCAGTCAACAAATTGATGTTCGTCACAACTACGATGGCACTTTGTCTTCTTACACCACCACTCCCTTCGCTTACACTTCTCCCGTGTCTAGCCGTTATGTAGCTGGTGCTCCTGCTGCCTATGCTGCTCCCGCTTTTGCCGCTCCCGCTGCTTATGCTGCTGCCCCAGCTGCCTTTGCTGCTCCTGCTAAATATGTAGCTCCCGCTGCCTATGCTGCCGCACCTGCTGCTTTTGCCGCCCCAGCTGCTTTCGCCGCTCCTGCTAAATATGTTGCCCCCGCTGGTGTTGCTACTCCCTTCGGTGTAGCTTCTCCTTACGCTGCTCAATATGCTACTCCTTATGCTGCTGGCTTCGCTGCTGCTCCTTTGGCTGCTGCTCCTGCTAAAGTAGTTGTTTAATTTTGTTGGCAAAGTCTTCATTGTTTAATTTATAACAATTTCATATTACTTTTTTGTTAAACACTTTTTCATTAACGAATAAATCATTTATGTAAATATTAATTTAATGTTGCATTTTCTTTTGCTCTATTATTATTAATTCTTTGTTCTTATATTATTTCTTAGCTTAAATTTCTGTTGAAAAGTGTCTTCAGGTGACAGTTTTCTAAAACTGTGACCTCTTTCAAAAAAATTAAGTTTAATACAATTTTTGCTTAAAAGACGGTTCTTTTTTCCTTAAAAGACTGCTTTTTTTGGACAGATTTCTTTAGAAAAGCTTCATCCTGAGATAATTTTCTTTAGTCTAGTCTATTCTCAAGACTATATATATACGGCTGTATTTATAAAAACTTATTTTAGGTTTATTAAACAATTTTAGGCAAAATTCAGGAAAATCGTATTTATAAACGTGAAATAGCTTAAAACACCTTCAATAAACCATTGACAATTAGAAGAATTTTTTGTAGGCTCGACCCTTCTTTAAGCCAACAATAACTTGATTTTTAACAATTTTTTCTCAGATAAAGATTTTTCCGGTAATTTTAGGTTGATTGCGAAAAGTAATTATGGTTTCTTTTAAAATAAAATCTAAAAATTCTAATTTTAACGTTTACAAATTTGTAAATAAAATCCCAGAAAATTTTTAAACGATTATATTTTGAGGAAAAAACTCAAATCTAGGCATTATTGGATTAATGCATGAATATTTGACAATATTCCAATTGTCCAGCACTATTTTTAGGCAATGACAGCCATATTGTACAGTGCTGCCAACTTAAACATAAATCAGCACAATAGTTAATATACGTTTATTATTTGTTTATGAATATCACAATATTATTAATGGTTTTTAAGGCTAAAGTGTGCTTTAACTACTGAGTGCATTAAAAACAAAATAAGATTTTTTTATAAATACAAGCGATATTCTATAGTCAAGTCTATAGTCTGGGGATGTAACGTATGCTCGCTTTCGCATATGCGAATTATTCGCTTACTTTTTTACATTCACATTCACTTTTGCATGCGCAAAATCTTAGCGAAAATTCAGATTTTCTTTCTTTTTAGTCAGAAAATGATATGGTGGTAAATGATAATGGTGGTAAATGATAGTGATCACAGATTTTCTCCCTTTTATGTTTTCACTCAAAAGTGATCACAGATTTTCATTGTTTAGGCACTAGAGGCTGTAGTTTAGCCAGAAAATGAACAGAAAATGGAAATAAAATTGATCACAGATTTTTATTGTTTAGGCCCTAGCGGCCTAAACATAACTTAGGCCATAGCGGCTCTAAATTAGCCAGTAAATGGACTTTTATGTTTTCACT